AAAAAAAAAAAAAAAAAAAAAAAAAAAAAGGTCTGCCAACCTTTGTGTTAGAAGGCCTTTTCTGCCCAAAACTCTCAAGTTCGCTGCCCAAAGTTGGCGTCCCTTCGGTTCACCGTCTGTCCCTTTTTTTCTTTATGTCCCATCATTACCAACAATCCTTTTGGAGACTCAGCTTTTCATTATCATGATTATCAATAATCAAGTGTAATCATGCGATTGAGACAATGAAGTGCACCTAAATAGATAAATAGCAGTATTAATACGGAAGTGTTTCGAGCATCCCAAACCCAAAAGGTTCCCCACATAGGTTTTCCCCAAAAACTTCCAGTAACTAGAGTGAAGAAGGTGAACAAAGCGCCTATTTTGGCACTAATCTTTGAAAATAAGTGAAAAATGGGATGTCTAGTAACAAGAAACAACACACACACAATGATATCAAAAATTGCCAATCGCCTGAGAAACAGAAAGAGAGAAAAGGAAAAGAGAAGGGAAACAAGAAAGAGAATCACCTCCCTTACCAAGCACTTTAGGGGTGAGAGCCTGAAGATTAAAGAAAAAAGGTTACAAACCCTTAGCACTATAGGTAGATCACAAGCCCACTATGGTCTTCCCCCAAACACAACACCACCTCCTGATGTATGTATAGTGGCGGTATTTCCGGTCAGGTGCATCCATATTGAGGGTGACCGTAGGAATGACAGTCTAAATGTTGTACTCAGTTGCAATGTTGGGAACAATCATCACCCAACAGCAGCACGCCACCGTGCAGCAGGTTTGACACGGAGAGAGAAAGGTGATTCGAACCTGTCAGAAGAGCTGATATAGTAGAGCCTAGGAAGGAAATCACATACGAAATACTATGAAGTAGTGTGAACCCTGTGCCATCATCAAAAGCACCAAAACCAAATAAGAACACATGCATAGTGCAAGAGGGAAGGAATGATAGGCGTCGGTGTGGAAAGAATCAAAAGGCCACTTTTGACAAAGGTCACCTTTTGACAGTGAATGCAATCGCGGCCATCCCAAGAAACGAACGACTTTTTTTAATTGGTCGGTCAACGTGCAAAAAATCCAACGCACAAAGAAATGCCATCTATAAATTCTCAACCTTTTCACTACTACCACAGATAAACCGACAGCATCTCCGAAAGTCGCGGCTGCATGCGAGCCGCGACGTGCACGGATGAACCGGCCACTACTGGAATGCCCAAATCCATCCGAGTTTTTTTCTCACAGCCAATCTATGTGAAAGATACTCATGGTTCAAACTTTAAAGTGAAACAGAACGGCCTAACTAGTAGGGGCTCCATGCCAAAAGAATCTGAATCCCAAAGAAAGGCCACCACTTTTGACAAGGAATGAAATTGAGGCCATCCCGAGAGACTTCGATCGGTAGGTCCATCGGTCTATGTATGTGAAAGGAACGACTTCGATCGGTACGTCGGTTGGTTGGTCGGTCGGTCGGTCGATGTGCACGAAATCAAAAGCACCGCGAAAGCTTAGAAAGGCCATTAACTTTTGGGAATAAAGTTGATGTCATCCCATAAATGGTTCTCAGAATAAGGCAGGAACGTCAAGTCACTAGAAGACACCCAGAAATGGATGGCCTTATGCCCGACCTTGCGGCATCCTGAGGCCCGACCTTGCGGCATCCTGAGCGCCGGCATTCATGGTAATGGAGTTGGGGGGAGAGATGATAGTCACAACTTAAGCAACAGGCAAAATGCAACTCAGATGGATAGCTTAGACAAATATGGAGTAGGAACAATTTCACGGCGAAGTATGTCGACTAAGTACAAACTTAAACCACCAGTACCTTTCCCTGCTTGAAAAACAAATACGCAGCTTGTATACCGCCACACTTTCGGGGCCAGGTCGCTGTTGATAAATTTCATCGGCCGCCCGTGGTGCATTTCCGGCCTCCGAAAGTCGCAGTGAGGGGCCCACGGCAGATATATGGTTCCGGCCTCCGAAAGTCGCAGTGAGGGGCGCACGGCCGATATATGGGAAAGGTACTGGTGGCCAGTGTTATTTCAGACATGGCGGCAGGGTGGCTACCACCTTGAAATGTTTTAGACATCGTGGGTGTAACAATTGTGAGTAGGACACAACATCACCGCAAGTGCTTCGACTAAATACAAACTTACACCACAAATATGGTTCCCAGCTACGAAATCAAACATGCGGCAACAGCCGCAACTTTTGGGGCTCAGCTTCTGGAGCAAGCTGCGATGTTAAAGAGAAGCTTCCTGATGGGATTACCCACTCTCGGGCTACATTCTGCACACCGGAATACGACACCTGTATTTGGGGCAACATCCAGTCCAGAAGCAGCGATAACAACCCGGCGTTCTATTCGGGTGAAGATGGTAGTGGTAATCCGCCTGACTGCAGTGGAGAAACCCGTGCCTCTGTACGGCCTAGGGCCAAATCCCAACACTGCCCAAACCATCACAACAAGCCAGGGTAACAAAGGGACCCACGCACCTCGTTGTTTATTTTTCTAACTCAATAGACCAAAACCTACCCTACATCCGTGATTTGCATCAGAATTTTTCGTCGAAGGAAATGAGAACTAAAAATCATCGAAGGCGGAGTAGTGTCTTCAACCGAATAGAATGCCTCTGGTCATTACCGCTGTATTGAGACCTAAAGGTGCGCCAAATACAGCTATAATGACCAGGTGTTCTGTTCACGTGACGATGGTAGCACGGACCCTGCTTCTGTCTGGTAGGCCACGTGTTTCCACCACCGCCGCATATACAAGCCAAGGCGCACATTTCCGCGGCCTCCGCGTACACGAGCCAAGGCTTCAGGACCCCTGCAAGATACTGGTTGTTCGTATGCTTTTTTGTCTTTAATTTCGACCATTTCTCTAGTATCCATGTCATTCATTCGCAGGGGCCATGCTTTTCCGTTTGTTTGTTTTTTTTGAGTCCAGGTTGTTGTAGAGGTTGGAAGCAAGACTATGACAGTCACCTTCCATAGTCGGCCATTAGGTTATCCAGACGGTCTACAGAGGGCCCCATTCCTTATGAGACTCCCTTCCGCCACCCACTTTCATCATTCTCCCTGGCGCACACCTACTCCCACAATCCTACCTCAGTGTCTACCACTCAGAATTGTCACCCTCCTTTCATCTCAAAGGGTGACCCGACCGGACAGTGGTCGTAGGTACCAGGCACTAGCCGTTAATGGAAGGCCGAAAATTCGGGGGTTTTCGCCGCATTGCTACAAGCAATGTTATCGAAACTTTTGCGAACAAACTATGCAGGGTTACCATACAAACATCAAAAAAACAAACAGGCAAAAAAAAAAAAAAAAAAAATCAAACTCAAGAGCACTACAAAACCCTATTCGGAGTAGCTTTCGGAGTTCGCCAAAGCTTTTTTCGAGTCCGGTGTTTTTGCTAAGTTTTTCGTTACTGGTCCAAATACGGCGAAACTGAATACAGATATACCCTAAAGCACATACACATCGGGCAAAAAGAAAACCAAGAAAAAAGTAAAAATTCAGGGAAATATGGCAGTTTCAGTGAAAATTTCACCAAAATTCGCTAAATTTTGGGCCTTCCATTAACCGCTTCTCAGCTAAGCAGGAACTACCCAGCTCAGCCCTGATTGAAACATGATTGGGCAAGCCCTGTCATATGGGTACTTTGAGCGCTAGGCATGGACATTCTTCTACAGGCCCCATAGGTGGACCCATTCCTATCCCCTCCTTCCCTCGCCCCCCCCACAAGTTGTTGCTGTATTATTCATAATATGTACCACTGTAATTGTGACTGAAAGGTTCTAGCCTATTATCAGCAGATGTATGGCCACCATCAGCACCTCTACCTATAGACATCCCCCTAGACCTCTATCTAGTCATGTTGTTGTGGTTGCGCTGTTGTTATTCTGGTCATGTTGGTTGTTATGATTGTGACCCAGAGGTTTGAGCCTATTATCAGTGGGTGTGCCGCCACCATCCGCCCCTGTACACATAGACGTCCTCCTAG